ACATTTTATTGGTGTAATTTGTTATAACATCAAAAGTATTTTTTTTATTGAAATTTTTACAAATATTTACTCGAGTTATATACACTTATTATAAATGAAAAAGTACTTTTCTTAAATGAAGTTGTTATTATGAATGCATTTAAAATTACACATGGCTTACTAACAAACTCTTATATTTGAATTTAAGTAATACAGGTGTAATGAATAAACAACTGACTAAATAAATTAATCGCATTAGCACAAATTTTTTTGTTCTAAAATATGATTGTTAATGGATCAAGCTCTTAAATATAAATAAAAAATAAAGCGACAAAAATCATTTTTGTTTTACAATTGTAATTACCTTTTTAAAATAAATAGATTTAAACACTCTTCACTTAGACTTTGTAATTGCATTAATTTTGTAAAGCTGTATGATTATAATGAACCCTTTATTATTATGGCAATACAATGGACACGATGGATTATTGTTTTAGAAAACAGTTTTTTTATTAAGTAAATTGATAATCAATATTTTGTAAAAATAATTCTAATTTTTAAAATGATGGCAGGATAATTTGCCTAATGCGATTTCTCTTTAGGGTGTACACGATTCAATTATGGCAAACTGAATTAACTTGGAGAAAATTATTTGATTCTTAAATCAATTTGAAAAATTATGGTATAGTTCATTTTGAAGGTTTATCACCAGAAACGCGGAAGCGCATCGTACCGATGCGATGAGGAATGAAGAACACCGCTTTGACTATCTGGGGTGAAGAAGCGAGCGTTACGATTCCTCACGTTCAGTTCTCTTTCTCAAGCCTCACGATCTGCAGCAACGCACCACGAACGGTAGCAAAATCCATTCTCCGGTTGATCTTCCAGGCTATGACTCAAGGGGATTAGGGAGTCGTGTGGGCAACCGTTCAGATGATGAACGTCTGCCTCTTTGGTGTGTTTCCGATGTCTGTGACCCTAGACGGCATTAGGAGGAAAGAGAGTTTATATACTCTGCCCACTCCAAAACTAACCCTAAGTTTCATGGGTTAAAATTAGACTTTGGACTCACTCTCACTAAAGCTATTGAGCTTAAGTGAAAAGAGCATATTAAACCCAACAATCTCTCACTTGCTCTTTTGGACACAAACTTGAGTTCATAAACTCAAGACTATGTAACCCATAAGCCATCATCGTAAACTCAAGAGAAATCTTGAAACGCCTCTTATTGTAGTTGATTAGGGGTGTTCATTAACCGATCCAATCCGATTCAAACCACAGTGACCGAACCGAAAAACCACAAATTTTAATTGGATTGGATCGATTTTTGGATGGGTTGATGAAAACCGATCCAATCCAAACCGATCCAATATATTAATTCATCTCTACCTACTTGGGTCTTTCCCTAATCATAGCCTAAAAATTTCTAAACCCAAGACCCATTAACCCATCAACTAAACCTAAGAAAAAATCTAGTCACATCTCATCAACAAAATTTTTATCTTTGTAGAGGTTCATATCTCATTGCTAAAAAAATAACTATATTATAGTTTACTAATACTTTTGTATTTCAAGAAAAAAAATTTACAAAGCCAATATATACAAAAGATGTTATTTGCACAATGATCACGAAATAAATTTTAAGATTTTAAAAAAACTGAAAATCAATCCAATTCAAACCAAAAAAATTGGATTGGATCGGATTTGAAAAAAAATCAAAATCGAATGGATGATTATACGATCAAACCGAAGGGATTGGATCGGATAATTTTTGTTTCTAAAACCGATCCAATCCAGACCACGAACACGCCTATAGTTGATCATTGGGTTGGCGAAAGTGGTGCGAGGCAAATAAAAATGACTCAATATATTAGGGGATCAATACAGAATAAATTGTTTTATGAATGGGTTTTATTAATCTCCTTCCACATAAGATAGTTATCTTATGTGGTAGAGAGAAAATGGGTGGGTCCCACCATTACAAGAAAAAAGAAAAAGAAGTAAAAAGTGGGGTGCGAAAATCGAAGTGAGAGAAAATAAGATAAGTTACCTTATGTAGAAGGAGAGTAACATTTTCCTTTATGAATATATGAGAATCGTGTGGGCTGCATGTGATAGTGCTCTTTCGCTTTGGAATGCTTAAAGCGTGTGTGGCAAAAAAGCCTTGTTATATAAATATAAAATAAATAATGAATCTCATCAATACTTAAGTTTCTAGATTAATTTATTCTTTATATATTATCAAAATCTCAATATTAAAGGTTCGATCCTCACAGTCTCTTTTTAATTTATAATTAATTAAGTTTTGTAAAGTTCTTAACACAGGTAAGTAAGTAGGTCTGTACATTATTCACCCTTCAAATATGAGAGGAGCTCTGATATGAGAGACGTGTTAGAAAAATAAAATTATTAATATAATTTATTCAATACATTAAATGTTTAGGTTGAATTTTTTTTTACAATTTTATAAGAGATGACGCGTTACATGATTAATGCTCGTGGTGAAACTGGAGATTACAACAATAATTTAAAAAACATTTATTTCCGAGGTAAGAAGGCATTGAATAAGGAACCTAGTAGAATACTGGCAACTGGCAAGTCTGTATAAAAAAGAAAAAGAAAAAGAAAGAATATGTTACAGGTTTTTATTTTTATTATTTTATTATTATTTTATGAATTGTTAGTTTGTTTAAACAAAAAAATATTTCCGTAGTTACTGCAGATAAGTTATCTGCATTTACTCCTAAAATGATATTATTTTGGTGTTGAAATATTAAAAAAATATAATTATAATCCTAAAATAAATTAAAATTATAAAAACACCTTAATTTACTCCAGATAAGTTCAAATTGTTCACGATATTCAGCTATGGTCCCTTCTTGACGGAGGCTCATAATTGTTTCATATGGGTTTCCCGAAGATGAGAAATGAAATCTCTCAAGCACTGTCGAAAGACATCCCACGTAAACGACGTCGTTTGGGTTCAATGTAAATAACTTATCTGCATTAACTGCAGAAAAAATGAACATTTGTTTAAGGGTTTGTTTTTTCTAAAGTTACGATAACTTTATTTAATGTTTATCGAAACGACGTCGTTTTGGGGCACAAATCATGATATTTTTGTAATTTTAATTTATTTCAGGGTTATCATACTCTTTATCATTCTAATTTTTTAATTTTTCAACCCCAAAACGACGTCGTTTCGATGAACATTACAGAAAGTTGTCTAAAGTAACATTAGATACTTTTTTCCCTTTGTTTAAATAGTGGGTTGTGGACAGTTATTTTGTTTGTTTTGTTAGGCATTAACTATAGTGGAGCTTATCTAGTGTTAGTGGGTAGTTACTTTATTGGACTTGTATTATCTATTTAAATCTTGAACTATTGAATAAAGATAATCAGAAGAATTATTTGGAAAATAACACGCACGAGGTCAGATTTCCTCACTTAAGCCATTTGAGATCAAGTTTTCTCAATAAAATCAAATTTTCATTTTTATCTATTTCGTTCCATTTTTATCTATTTCGTTCGTTACAATACTGGCAAGTTGCTGATGTGGCTGAAAGGAGGAATGTTAAATTTATAATGAGAAATTATTATCTCATTTTACATGAGATAACTATCTCATGTTATTCTCACATGAAAAATTGTGCCATCATTTTTTATTTTTTTTTATTAAGTGGTGGACTCCTCCATGTCATGTGTCTATAGTAGAAGATAATTATCTCTAACAAATGAGAAAATAGAATCCCATTAATAATATAATAAATTTGATGAGGTCCGAAACGCAACAATATAAAACGAGATCGTCGCAATTTTAGAGAGCGCAAGGTTCACGAGTCAGATTTCGTATTTATTAAAAAATTACTGAGTATACACAGAGTACTATAAATTTAAAAATATTTTGAAAAATATAAAAAATAAAAAGTTACAATTAATTTTTAAATAAATTTAAAGAAAATAATATACAAAACTAATTCAAAAAATAAAAAATACATGTTTCACTTAAAAATAATTAACAATAATCAACTATTCATAACAAAATAGAGTCTAATTTAATATACAAAGATAGATTTTCATTTAATAATAGTATATGAATGAAATAGTTTACACTTACTAAATAATATAAAGTTTCAAACTTTCTATCGATATTTTTTCAACAATATATATTTAGATTAATTTATTTAATATTTAAAAATAATTAATAAGAAATTTTATTGAAGAAATTTTCACTTTTTTTCCCCAAAAAAATTAATCAAAACAAAGCTTGTTCTAATAGTAAAACTGAAGTATCAGTATATGTATATTTGCTTTAGTTCACATGATTTAAATTAAATTTCGAAAATGTGAATCAAATTAGACAATATAATAATAAAATCTCTTACGTAATCTAACATATAAAATGTTGGATTCATTAATTACCTCCGTTTACAAACAAAAGCAAACCATCATAGGCACCGCCAAGTCTAAACATGCAGACATCATCAGTGTAAAATATCAATGAATTTTGTCTGCTTATCTGGCGATCCTCCCAAAGATGAATAGACTATCCATATCCAGTGATCCATCACTATCACTCACTGGAAACCCCTCTCAGTGAAAAGTGCGGCCATCACAAATAGAAGTAACCGTGTACAGAAACCAGGACTATAAAGTTATTTGATTATAAATTTTATAAAGCAGCAATTATGGTATACATGGTCATGGATAGGTTTTGGACCCTTAGTAGCAAAAAAATAAAATGAAATCTTTATCATTTGACTATAACAAAAAATCCAAAATAAATGGAAATTAAAGCAATAATTATTGGAAAAAGGAAAATATATTGGGTTCTGCAATTTGTACTGGTCTTCATTGTCTTTCTTCAATACTTAATGGTTTAACAAAAGTATTAAGGCATTTTGCTTAAAACAGAAAACAAAGACTAGGAACAGTAAACACATTCAAATGGGTTATGCTCATACATAAATGTGACTATGTATAACAGCTAAGCAACCTATTTACTTTACTGGAAATATCAGCTAGAAAATCAAAGTCTCTATGCTAGCTTTCTTTGGCATTCTGCAGACAGGGCAAGCCTCGAGGAATGCATCACAAGCTTTGCATGAACAAAGGTGTCTGCATGGGAGGAATAGAAAACACGATCTCCGAGAATGACAGCTTTTACAAAGCATTACCTGTGCCCCGCTATATTCTGCTATTCCTTCTTCTTCCAACTCTTTTCCACTCCTTTCATCACAGCATGATTCTGCATCATTTGCCACTCTTTCTCTCATCTCCTCCAGAGTTTTATTGAGCCATGATACCATTGCTTCCTTTTCCTGAGCCACCTTCTTCCACTCTTTATTCTCCATCTCAAGCCTTCTTAAGAAATCTTCCAACTCTGCCATTTTCCTTGCCACTTGTTCAATTTCTTCGTCTTTTTGCTTCAGGATATAAAGTGAACGAGATTCCACTATTTTCAATAATGCTGCCACTTGTTGCTTGTGCTGCTCTTGTAGCATGAATCTCAATTTCTCATTCTGTCCCATTAGAGAAAAAAAAAAAAAACAAAAAAAACAATCAGCATGCACTATCTGATCAAATTGGTTGACATATAGTATTATAATGATATAATATAATAATGAACAGAAAATACGAAATCCTAACCTGAAATCTGATGTACTGATCAATCTCTTCCCACTGCTTCTCAAGTTGAACAACAAAGCTAGGAGAATTTAGTGCTTTTGAATCATAAACAAGAAGATTGGAATCAACCTGTCTCAGCCAGCTCTCATTATGTAACTGTTGTAAAGGCTCTTCTAATTGTTGTTGTTGTTGTTGATCATGTTTCTGTTGGGAATTGAATTGGGACTCAAGGAGCCCAACATTGCAATAACCATTGTTGTAAAATGATGAACTAACATTACTCGGATACATGTGTGCTTGAATGGCCATGCTCTTAACGCCAATCTCTCCGACCAAAGCTTCAAAGCCAGAACCTTTTCCTTAATTCTCCTTCACCTTGATGCAGAACATGTTCAAATGAAATTTGCCTCAAGTTCAACGTTTGAAGGACCAGAATAGTTTTTTTCTCATGTTTGTGGTAGTGCTGGTGTGCAGATATATATATACTTATAAATTGATTGAACAAAAAGTAATATAGAAACTTTACGATAAGAATAAATTAACAGTTTAATTTTATAATATTGTGTCAACATAAATTTCGCATTGATAACAACTCAATAAATAAATAGATTTAGATTGAGCAGAAAAAAGTAACTGAAAAACTTGAAGGGAAAACAAACAGAGGAGGAGCCTATAAAGCATAGGATAATGTGGAGTTTCTCTTTCTTTTGGTTTTACTTGTAACTTTCTTCTTGGTATTTCTCTAAGCATTAAAGAAATGAGGTGTGGGATGCGGTAAGCAACAACGTACCCACATGCAGATTTTGTGACTAAACTATCGGGTCAGAGATTTCAGAGGCGTTTGTTTCTGCTTTAAATAAATGGAGGAATTGAATTCGAGTTCAAAGTAGGTGGCAAGTGAGAAACTCACAAGAACCTGCGGAAGAGTCAGTTTTTATTGAAGATAGAGAGTAAAATACAAACGGAGATTTGTCAGTTACATTACTTGGAAAGGAATGGATTGGAAGCATGACTCATATTCATTTTATTTTATTTTATTTTTCGGTCGTATTTCCATATTGCCAAACCGTGTTCACGAATTCCTAGCTGTCATTTCTGTCATTTGTTATTATGTTGATAACTTCATATCTTGAGATTTTTTAGATAGGAATTGTTTCTTATTATATGCAATGCAATTATTTTCACATGGTAAAAAAAAAAAAAACAGAGAAATCGATTTATGAAAAAAGGGAAAACAAAATAAAAAAATGAGATGCTTTTTGTTTTTTTCTTTAAGTTTGTGAGAGTTTAAAAACAAATCAGGATTTGCTAAGAGTGTTATGAAATTTACAAAAGTAAGAACTTAGAACATAAAGCTTGCATCTTATAACACACATCAGTAGATCATTTCTACTTGTTGGTTTTCATATTTATAATTTTATATTTATTATATATTTAATTCAAGTGATTAATCTATTGATTCAATATTCCATCCAAATGATCCGTTCGAATTTGATAGCATTATTGCCCATAATGCTTCGTGGCCGTTGTTATTTTAATATTTAATGTAAGAGTAAAAAATTTAGCAGTTCAACATTAAAATTGTTGACTTTAAGAATTCGATTTTGCTTAACCATTAAACATAGAGACTTATCGTTGCATTATGGCAATCTGTGCTAGAGTGTGATTCTAACATGCATTATGTTCTCTATACTACTCTTAATTACTAGCTTTACGTGAAGGTAAATGTAAAACTTGCAATAATAAGTCAAGGCACAACTTTAAATAGCTAGCCCCAATTTCTAAGTCACTCCGTTGTAATCTTTTGTGGAATTAGTTAACAATAGCGACGCGTTGTTGCATAATTTTGTTCTAATTTACACATTATGCAAACTTAATTAGCTAAACATCTGAGAGTTTCTTTGACCTTATTGTGTGCATGAGTTCTAGGTAGCTAAGAATTGTAGGCTAATTTAGTCACATACATGGGTGCTAAACAAACCAGGGGCCTTTGGCTCGGCTCGTGAAGACCTACATTTACATGTCTGAAATTGGTTATTGGAACCAAACTTGGACTTGTATAAAAACTCGTTTAATAAAATGGTCTCAGGCTCCAATTCAAAAGCTCGGCTTTGAAGTCTCTCAGACTGACCTAGTATATTAATTTTTATTTTATATTTTTTATACTACTTGTAATAGCTCCCTCTCTCTCATCAATCCGTTTTATCTCATTTTATTGGTTAAACCGTTAAACAGACTTTTTGAATAATTTTGTTCAATATTATGCTGTTTGGATATACATTGAATTTATGAATATTTATGGAATTACTAGTGTTGTTGATTGTATATTCTGTTTGGATAAATTTTTGTTGTTTTATTTTTTTTAAACAGGCTAAACCAGACTTTTATTTTTTGTAAATAAGACAGGTCACGGGCCGATAATTATATTCATAACAGTTAACAGGCTAGGTCAGACTGACACATTTAAATACAAACTTAGTCTTTTAAGACTAATGCTCGGCTCGGCCCGTTAACACGCCTAATCACACACAATTAATAGTATCTTGTCAGAAAGAACAAATGCAATTGGAGTTAATTTCTTGCATTTGATATATATCAAGTAAGCAAGCTCACCAACAATTAAGCACCGAACCTACTCATCAGTCATCATCTCACCTTGTTATGTTGTTGATACATCAAAGCTTTGTCCTGCTCCCTACTTACTTATATATTTGTAGAAAAGATAGAACCAGCTTTTGGTGTAGGTTTTCGTTAATATTAAAAAACTGACTCGGACAAGCAAAAACAGATGCTTCAGTGCCTTTGGTAATCTCAGGACCACCACCTTAATTTTCATGCCTGCTGAAACATTTCCGTGGGATTCACCAAGAAGTTGTGTGGTCCTTTTTTCAAGATAATAAACTTCGTTTTCTCCTTTTGTATGCACCCACGATGACAGTCATTATATAATTTTTGTATAAAATTTTTTGGTCAATCAATTCAACTTGTGCTGATCTAAGTACATAATTTCTTAACAGCCAAAATTTTTGTTGGTGGAGTTGATTGGATTGGTTTAATTATTTAAAAGTTGTATATCACAGGTGACATTTTGGATTGTTAAGTGATGTAGTTTTATACTAAACTCTTTTGGAAGGACCAAATATAAATATTTTATTTTATCATAAATCTTGCAATGTTGGATTAAATGAATAATATATAGAGGCTGAAAATTATTATTGTATGCATTACTAATATATATAAGACTTATTGTTTCTGAAAGATAAATTTATTTTTTACACACAATGTATGAGACATATTTTTTCTTTTTCTTTCTTTTCTTTGAATGCTTTTAGAGTACTACTGTCACACCAAAAATTGGGTGCAAAATACAAAAGTAATTTTTTTTTTCTCTCTTGGGTACAACACAAGCTAACGTGGCGCATTCCTGTTGGCCTGATATACCTACAATGGTAGTATTGAAAATTTTATTCTTCTCCTCCCGGAATCCACATAAACCGTGTACATTTTTATGTATATATAAAAGATAAATTTACATAGATATATTGAACCTTATATAATATAACAAATTGATCCTGCATGCATATTTAAATATTTGCATAACATGCCTAGTTTCACAAAGTGGCAACTACGTACAACAGAGGATTGAAACAGGTGAAGACAAATTGATTGAGTATGTAACTTTTTAGTCGGTTAACTAATCTTATTCTTAACAATTATCAACACGAAGCTCCCATGTACCAAGTAAAACCTGATCTGTCATGTTATACAGAAGCTAAATTGTGATGTCGGCATCTATTTCAAAGAAAAAATGTGATGTCGGTCGTAATTAGCATTTAATTGATATAGACTTCTTGATAAGAGAGTGAAATAAAGTTGGTAAGTAAGATGATAATGTGAGGATTGATTTTTCATCTCATATATATCTACATTGGAGACCGACACACGCAAACAATGTGAATTATGATATTGTCTGTATGGGGGTAGGACCCATCACAATCCCATGCATGCTTTACTTGCATATTCTTGTTCCACCGGGTCGCTTTTCTAAGTCTCATAACAGCGTGAAAGAAAGAGCAAAGAGCTGAGCTTTTGAGTCATTGACCGTTTCTCGTGCAACTTTGACTTAACGCCGTTGCGTGCTCCTTTTACTGTTTACCAGTTACCAGTCAGTCAGTCAGTCAGTAAAGCATGTTAGAAAGCTGGAACCGCATATGGATGATTCGGTCTTTGAACCAATATTCCTTTCTTTCTTTATCTTTCTTATCATAAATGGCTTTTCTTTTAAAAAATTCTACGGGGTCCATATCTTTCTTTAATCTATTATCTCTCGTTGACATCTTTGTTTCCCCCAAAAATTAAAAGTAACAGTAATCGAAATTTGAGTGATAACGAACTTGATTAAGTCACGTGACATGTTTCTACTAGTGTATAACATATCAATTTTGTAATGTATCAATTTTGTTACGTGTCTCGAAATCATATATTAATCAAATTCACTATCAGTTTCAGTGAACTTCAACACATGTCAATACGATAAAAAATATTACTTTCATAATATTTGAATAAAATATTACAAAAATGTGTCACTTTGATTACTGTTTCAAATTAAAACTACGGAAACTTTACATTTCTATTTTTTATTTAGATTTAAAATAGAACAAAAATAGAAACGGACTCGGCAGGGCAAAAAAATTTCTTTTCCGTGCGGCATCTTGGAACAGTGATTGAAATACCACTGTTCACCAATTTTTTTATCTAAATGTCACGCGAATAGTGTTATTTCTCAATCTGTCACGGAGGCAAGTTCGCTACCCGGTGTAACGAACTCGGTTTGCTGACGTGTCACGTTTCTAGTGGACACCAACTTGATTTTAACCAAGTTCGCCTACGTGGTAGGCGACCTTCATTTTTTTTTATTATTTTTTTTAAAATTTGATACTTGTTATCCATTAAAAAAGTGACACGTCAGCAAATCGAGTTCCCTACATAGGGTAGCGAACTTGCCCCCATGACATATTGAGAAATAACACTGTTTGCGTGATATTTAAGTAAAAAAGTCGGTGAACAGTGAGATTTTAGTCAATTTCCCGGCATCTTATTGGAAAGACATTAATAGCGCACCTGCGATCACATTTATAAATGCTTAATTTCATCTTTGTAATTTCATTATCTTTTATTTTTATACAAAAAATACATTCATCCTTTCTTATTGTTTTATTAGAGTGTATGGAACAAAATCACCACATGAACTTAAGTTTTAATGGCATTAAAAGTTAATTTGGACGACAAGAATAATAACAAACATAAAT